CAGCAACATGAAAAGAGAAAACAGCCCAGTGAGAGAGTGGAAGGAGGCCTGTCGGAGCTCCTGGCAACCCAACCAGCAAGGACGACTTTTAAGTCACCCCAACTGGAGCAACTTCAACGGTTTTTACTTGGGAATTGACAAAACGTGGGATTACACAACGCAGAGGCCTGCGTTAGGAAACCGGACCCAACCCCCCGGGAGCTTCTTTCCCATTCCCTGCACTCTAAAAGTGCTCAGTGCAGGAAATATTAACAAACTTCTACAAACACCTCCGATGATTATAACTGCAGTCCAGCATGTTATCCCTCGACACACATAAAGAAATCAGATTACGAACTCACTACACTCAGCACAAACGATTTTTAAAAAATAAATAAATAAACAACGCTCTGCATGAATGCATACAAGAGAAAACCTATGTCAATTAATGTAAGACACAAATTCTCTTTTAAAGCAAAATATTTCCCACTCCTATTAAATATTATTCTTCGGAAGTATGAGAAACAACTGGTCAGAGTGACCAGGAAGCAGAGTGAGACCGAGCAGACCCGTTATACTGCAGAAGCAAACACTGAGCACTATAAAAACCCTCTGGACCACAAAAGCAGAACGGAAAATAAGCCAATTTTGGAGTCTTTTCATTAATAATAAATGCTATTATTATGAGTACAAAACAAGAAAGACGGGTATGAACCTCTCTCATTCCGGTACTGACCGCATATCAAGGCACAGCAGACCCAACCCCGTGTTCGGGAAGGGTCCCCGGAGGCCCCGACGCCGAGTACCGGGGTCGGGGCGAGGGTGTCACACAGTGGGGGCCGGAACCCCGGGAGCGGACACCCGGCAGAGTCGGCGGCAGAGGTACAGCACAAAAGCAGCGCTCTATCGCGATACGAGGCCGGGTGACGGCGGGCGTCGCGACAAGGGGGACAACCGGGACGTTCAGGTCCCTGCGCTGTCGCAGCCTGCGCTGAAGGGCGACGGGGCAGAGCCGCTGCGGTCCGCC